TTGCGGGTTTCAAATTATTGTTGTTCATGTTTTGTAAATAGGAGACTAAGATTATGACAATTTAAACCATTGGATGAACGCCAACTGTTATAGCAGCTGTGATGTTTAAGTTGTCTATGTGTTGTGCACGTGACTGAAGCCTTGTTGATGTATGTATAACAACTTATTTCCTCACACTTTTAGTGTGATATTGATACTGAATCCAATCAAATCCAAGGAGCAACTTACTCCACTTTTTATCCTTCATTGTTCTCTGCAATTCAAGCTTGCTGAGTTCATCAATTTCTCAGTGATTTCTACTATAAAACTCACCAAAACAATTCATAAACCTATACAAAACTAACATGGCCTCAGAGTTTGGTTCAATTTGAATCAAGGGATGTGATACTGTGATTTGATTTTGTCTAGGTTCTTAACGAAGAACTCAGTTGAATCAAAGAGCAAAATGGCTGGATCTGGTGTTGAGCTTCGAGCTCCAATCTTCACTAAAGCCAACTACAACTTCTAGTGTATTAGGATGAAGACTATCTCCAAATCCTATAATCTATGGAAATTTGTAAATGGAGGTGTATTAGTAAGATTGAGAGTCAATCTAGAATTTCAATATCCTCGTTGCTAATGTCATAACTCGTTTGGAAAGTGTTTTTAAATTACTGAAAAATGTTTTTAGATAAAATATTTTTGGGTTCCAAAACCACTTGGCACTTCAAGTACTTTTTCAAGATTAACTTGCATTTTTATTAAGTACTGATTTCAAAAACATTTTTGCTAAAATCGTTTTCAGTCTAAAAGTGAATTCAATCATTTAAAAGTATTGCTCAAACATGCCCCTAATGTACTAGTTTGTATTTGATTATTAATAAGAGAAAATTAGAATCCCTTACTGTTTTTATATATGATTTATATTAAATATTTGTGCCTTTTTAAAATTTGATTAAAGTGCTTTGACCAATAGTAAACTCTAAAAATTATTTTTGACTTTATCCTTTTATGATGCACTTTTCCTTATTTAATGGAGATATTTGTAATTAAACTATATTTTCTCTTCTTCCAAATATGTTTTTTCGATCACAGTTTCCATTTTTTTTTTTTTGGTTATTCAAACATTTAATATTATTTCTTTTCCTATTTTCTTTTTCAAATTGTAAATCCCACATCGCCCAAGGGAGTGGATCCTATAAGCCTTATATGTATATTTTCATCTTTACCTAACACGAGGCCTTTTGGGAGCTCACTGGCTTCAGATTCCATTGGAACTTCGAAGTTAAGCGAGTGCGCGTGAGAGCAATCCTAAGATGGGTGAACCATTGGGAAGTTCTCGTGTGAGTTCCCAGAAACAAAACCGTAAGGGCGTGGTCAGGGCCCAAAGCAGACAATATCGTGCTACGGCGGAGTCAAGCTTGGGATGTGGCGAGGCCCGGGTCGGGATGTGACAATTTGTTATCAGAGTCAATCCCTGGCCGGAAGTGTGCCAACGAGGATGTCCAGCCCCTGAGGGGGGTGAATTGTAACATCCCACATCACCCAAGGGAGTGGATCATGTAAGCCTTATATATATATATATATATATATATATATATATATATATATATATTTCCATCTCTACCTAACACGAGGCCTTTTGAGAGCTCACTAGCTTCGGATTCCATTGGAACTTCAAAGTTAAGCGAGTTCACGCAAGAGCAATCCTATGATGAGTGACCCACTGGGAAACACGATATTGTCCGCTTTGGGCCCCGACCACGCCCTCACGGTTTTGTTTCTGGGAATTCACACGAGAACTTCCCAGTGGGTCACCCATCATAGGATTTCTCTCGCGCGAACTCGCTTAACTTCGAAGTTCCAATGGAATCCGAAGCCAATGAGCTCCTAAAAGGCCTCGTGCTAGGTAGAGATGGAAATATACAGATAAGGCTTGCAGGATCCACTCCCCTGGGCGATGTGGGATGTTACAATCCACCCCCCTTAGGGGCCCGACGTCCTCGTCGTCACACTTCCGGCCAAGGATTGGCTCTGACACACCCCGACCGAAATCAAGGTGTGCTGGCCATTACGTGAGGGTGACGTAGCCATGTGCACAGTGCGGAAGCAATAATAATATAAGAAATGCGAATAAATAAAAACCAAACTAAATAGAGCACTAGATAAGATAAGGTGCAAGACGAAATAAGTGTGAATTCACAACCAGAGTATAAGTAGCCTAAGTATAGTCCACCAGGATGAATACTAATTATACAATAATACTAATTATACAACACCGAAGGTAATCTTATGATGGTGATAATCTGTCAGAGTTGCCGTGGATTCCTCACAAGCCACCAAAAGCACTCCTAACTAGAACCTGGAGCGGCGCAAAACAGAAAGTGTGAGTGGGCAAAAACAAAGCTTTTCAAAACCATTTCAATTACCAAAGATAGTAACCCCTAGCCATAAAACCTGTATAATTCCCCAGAAAATAGAATATATATCTATACCACAACCATGCTCAGAATAACAAAATTCACAAATATGCCATGTCGAATATCTCAGCATAAAAATATGCAAGCCAGGTGATATAAATCAATGCAAATGATATGTCAGCAGGAGTCACCTAACTTGACCTGTACGGCTAAATCTATAGCTCATTTATCTAGCTGGAGTCACCTAATGTGACCTGTACGGCTTAAATCCACATCTCAACAAATATACCTGCACATGAGTTGGAACCACCTAAAGTGGTATGTACGACATGACTGGGTGTAAATAAATACGCTCAAGTGCTACGATCACGTAAAGACTGTGCGAATAATCGTAGGTCACCTATGAGTCGAAACCACCTATAGTGGTCTGTACGACAGGAATGTGCACCTAACTTGGATCCAAGATAAGCGTATGGTGCGAGAGGTGAACATCATGTGAAGGACTGTGCCCTAACCACGGGCGGGAGCACTAACACCGGGTGCAGGTTTATGAGCTCTCAACACATCTCACATAATCATCAATTCACATAAATAGTCTACAAATCACCTGGTACTTACCTGAGCGTCCACCGCGTCAAATCACAATATGCACATATCATACAAATTCATAGTCTAAGCATAAATCAATAGACATGGCATTTCAAACATAATTTCATTTAAATCGATTTTCTGGGAAAAATCTCAAGTATATAGGTATATACGAAAAACCAAAAGCCCACTCATTGGTATGTGGAAGGGTCGTAGCCCCCAAGCCTCGATTGACTGCGCTCGTTCGGAGGATAGGTCTCACCTATATGCGAAACAACTATATAAAAGTTAATTTAAAGCACATAAACGAAACTAGCTAATAACTTCTCATACATTGCTCAAATGGGGTGTTTGAATATACCAACGTGATTTACTCAACACCACAAACATCGCCATATTTTAAAAATAATTTTTGGACCACCCATGCACCGCCACGCGCAGGCACATGCTTGGCACACTACGGAAACCCTAATGGCATTAGGGAATATTCTGTCCAAAAATGGAATAAACTGTTAAATATACTTGATGCCGTTAGTAACGCCGTTAGTATATTCCGTCAAAGTTGACGGAATATTCTTCGTCTTCTCCGGCGATCAAATTGTAACATCCCACATCGTCCAAGGGACTGGATCCTGTAAGCCTTATATGTATATTTCTATCTCTACCTAGCACGAGGCCTTTTGGGAGCTCATTGGCTTCAGATTCCATTGGAACTCTGAAGTTAAGTGAGTTCGTGCGAGAGCAATCCTAGAATGGGTAACCCATTGGGAAGTTCTCGTGTGAGTTCTCAAAAACAAAACCGTGAGGGCGTGGTCGGGGCTCAAAGTGGACAATATCGTGCTACGGCAGAGTCGAGCTCGGGATGTGGTGGGGCTCGGGCCGGGATGTGACATAAATGGTTGGTGATCAACATAAAAGCTTCATGTAATTTTTTCAATTTTTTTTTTTGTGAAATTATATTTTTTTGCTGTTTTTTTAAGTATAGTTGTTGACAAATTATTACTAGGTACAATACATTACGTATATGTTATCTGCGAGTGCGTTTGAATTTACAAAAATCATTAATTGGTACGTTTATTTGCAAGTTTGGTATGTTTGATTTGATATATATTGTTAATATTGGTACATTATTTTTATTTTGGTACGTTTTATTTTGTACACATTGTGTATTGGTACATTTATATTATTCTCAATCCTATTTTCTCTTAACGTACTAAAAAAAAAACTTATTTCGATTTTGGGGGATTAAAAAATATTTTAAACTATTTTGGAAAGAAAATATCTTAAATTATAGATAATTATTGCTAAATTGTAGTATTATTGTGAAAATAAATTGAATCTAACCAACTTTTTTTTTACCATTATCTCGAACGGATGAGAGTAATCAAAAAGTTAGATTATAGGAAATTTGTTACAATATAATGTGCATATAGCACCAAAATTATGCAAAAAAAAAAAGTTTAATCAAATCACTAAAAGGTATGAATGTTTGATCTAGAAAATTCAGAACTGAGACGTCTATATCAAAAGATCTCTTAATAAATCAGTTTATCATTTGAGAAAAAATATTATCAAGATTAGCGAATTTAAATGACAAAAAAGGGTCTTCCAAAAAAAATGACAAAAGGGGCAAGATTGATTTTGAAACGAGAATAAATTATAACGAAAAGCCAGACGGCCAACCAATACAAGCAGCATGAAGATGAAGAGCATTTTTAATAGAACAGAAGAGACACATGAATCCAAGTAAAATCATAGTTTTTTTTTTTTTTTTTTTTTTTTTTTTTTTATTAAGCAAATGATAATGTTTACACTAGAGGATAGAGGAGTGCTGGGCTAAGCCTCACAATAAGCTAGTAATAATACGGTTCAAATTTACTTTTGCCAAAAATCAAACCTAAGACCTCTTACTTACAAATGAAGAGAAATATTATTAAACCGTAGTACTAAGTGGCAGGAAAAACGAGAATTAAAGCCCCAAATATTAATGTGTAGCCCCTTGGAAAGAGAAAATTACAATACAAATACGTCTTTATTTATATTGTATTTTGAATATAAATAATTATTAGAATACAAATACATGTTTAAAGTAATTAACTAATTATTAGAAGGGGCGTAAATATATTAGCTTAGAATGAACCGAGCATAATATTTGCCTTAATTAGATCCACCATATCAAATGTTTACTTCCATTTCTTGAACTTGCCCCCAAAGGGCTTGCCATGCTTAAATTTCCCGTGCTTAAATTTGCCATGACCGCCGTAGCCGTGGCCACCCCCGTAGCCGTAGCCCTGGTAACCATGGTAAGCGCCATAGCCATGGGGTGCCCCAGCGCCATAGCCATGGGGTGCCCCAGCTCCATGCACAAGATGGTTAGCACCATACGGAGCAGCAGCTGCGGCAGCACCCCCAGCTAACATCCCTCCCATTCCCATGCCAGTTCCATGCCCTGTACGTAATAATCTTTCAGTCACCAAGAACACAAAAATATATAATATATATTATACTTTAATTTCATTTTAGTTGGTTCTTCATATATGATGATGACTAGCTGGAAGAAAATTAAGAACATTACCTGATAAATATCGATGCAAAGTGAGAAAATTATTATTGGTACTTCAAAATTTTCAGTGTACAGTCTAAACTTTCTATATCTAGAAAGAAAAATACGCTTATAAGAAATGTGCAAATGAGATTTTTAAAGTGTTAATAACAATTTTCTTTCAAAATTTTATACCTATGTATTTTCTGTTGTTTAATCATTGTGTCTAATTTTTTGTCATGCAAACTACTAAAAATGTGGTCTCCATAATATTTTCCTTTATATATTTCTCTTTTCTCTATCTCTTCCATTGAAAATGAGGAGGGGGGCTCAGCCATTTGATTAATATACCCATGAATATTATTGGCCTATAATTTTGTAGAGTGCCCAAATATACATAAATTCAAAATTATTATGAACCCAGTAAACCATAAAGTTAAAAAATAGATTAGGGACAACCGTGATGTGATTCGATTGCATGCAGAATGAGAAGACGCTGAAGTACCTGAATAACCGGGTGGAGGGTAGGAGGTTGGTGGATATCCCCCATAAGAAGGATACGCAGCTGGAGGGTACCCCCCTGAAGTAGGGTATGATCCACCACCACCATATGCTTGCGGGGGATATCCATATCCTTGTGGAGGGTGTGATCCACCACAACCATATGAAAATAGTCCTTTCTCACTTGTCTCATGTTTCTCGTGCTTTCCACCTCCCATCTTCAAGTACGTAAGATTGATGCCTACCTGCATATCATTATTAAAAAATTACTGGAGAAAATGAAAAATAAAATAAAACAAGTAATTATAAAACTCGTCAACCATAAAATGACACCTTGAAAAATTCATCACTACGTATTTTACGTTGTGTTTCATAGATAAAATGACCATCTAGTACTTGTCAAATGGGAGGCACCGTAAGTCATGATTTTACTTAATTCATGGTTTAAGGAACATAACATGTTAGAGAATTTTATTGTAACATATCATAGATAATTGCAACAATATATTGTTATGCTTAGCTAATAATAATAAAAGATATTATCCCGGGACCAATTTTCTACACTCATTTTGTGTGTGGTCTCTTTGTGACATCGATCATTGATTGGCACGTATTAAGTTTATGACAACAGATTTAAGAAGAATTAAGTTTATGAACACATGTCAATCAATTATAAATGTCACAAAAGCCACACACAAAATGGGTGTAGAAATTTAAACTCATTACTCTGGGACCAATCTTCAAAACCCTAGATAAAGAGAATTCTTTCCAATTAAGCAGTACGTAAATCTCTAAACATTTGCATGCGTTAGTATATCTCATGAGCTTATATATAACCAGCCATTAATCTTCAAATAATAAGAAATCCATGTTCATATATAAATCATTAGATATATATATATATATTAATGCAGAAACAGAGGACAATAACTAGACATTAGAGAGAGAGAGAGAGAGAGAGGTGGCTCACAAACGGTTGTGTGGGGACTGTTAAGTTTGCCCTAAGCAGTACTCAAAAGCAAACGTGTAGGTGTGGAACTTGAAAGAAATGAAGTGTATATGTAGGGATCGTAAAGTAAACAAGTATATATTCTTATCACTTTGATACCAATTAATTAAAATGAGATAATGATAGATAAGATTCCATAAAGTTGATGCACTGCGTTACTTCAACGCATGTGCTTTATTCTATGCCCTATATAGTAAAGGACCACTAACATTTAATAACTTGTAGTTTTTCTAGTAGAAGAAATTTTTAGTTGTGATGGGAATATAAGTGGTACACTATATATTTTAATAAAAATGGTGAGAAATTTTATTTTTTAAGTTATTAAATTTTGAGCACACATATCCCACCATTTGTTTAATGACACGTAATGTACCATCTCGTATATCAATCACACCGTAAAAGATAAAAAGTTATGCTAATTTCATAGGTCCTTTTAATTAAAATGCCTAAATTCAAATTTTCAATAAAAAAATTACAGAGTCAGTTGGCACACGTATGTGCCTATGGACTAGTATCATTTGATTGTAGTCCCCACACGTGTAATATAGGAACTTGTATGTCTGTCGAATATGGAAAGAAGAATCTCACATACACCTGCCTAAATTGGAATAACTTTTAGAAAGTACGATCATCCATTCGATCATATTTTCGTGTTGATAATTTTTCTATTGACAAAAATGTGTCATCTACAAAAATATATGATATTTTTAATAGAAAAATAAATGTATTCATATAGACAAATCTCGAATATTACTGCTTCTAGAACGTCCGAAGAGAAAAACATTTTTCGTAACCGTGGGTAAAGACATATCCCAAATAAAGTAATCATGAATGGAATGGCCATAGCTAATAATGACATCATCAAAAAACTTTGCCTCCCAAAAAACCTGAACCCAAGAAAAAGAAGAAAAAGATCGTGGAAGTAATATTATTCTCAATAATAGTCTTCAATCGTCTAGACGTTCTACACTTATACAAAATAAAATCAATAATGAGTTTGGAATCACTTTTAACACGTACATCCTTAAAACCTTTGACTTTTGCAAATTTTAGCGTATAACCCAAAGCAATTGCTTCATAAACCCCTAAAATTGTGCACCCGAACAACAATAGGAGATCGATTTTGATAACTAGTGGCAAAACCTGTAGCCGCTTAAGATTCTACCACTGAACCATCAATATTAATTTTGATTCATGGAGCACAATCTGAGAACACGTGTGAACAAAATTGAAATTACGAACTCATCTTGAGCTTTTATTGGTGTTGTAGTACTTTCTACCAACTGTAGCGGCCACACCATTGGAACTCTGGCAGGGTAGGCTATACTATTGCAAAAAATCATATTGTTTTTAGCATTCCATATTTGCCAACAAATGAGGAGAGCCCTACTAAAATCAGACAACTCCACTTCATCATTAGCATCAACAAACTTAACCAATCAATTAAATCCATCCCAACTTCTTGTGCAAAGCTGCATTTAACAAAAAGATGTTGGTGATCTTCTTCATCAATATTACAAACAAAACAAACATGATTAGTACTAGGAAAGAATCTATGCAATCTCACTCGCATTTAGAGCATCTCATGAAAGAGAAGCCAACAAAACATTTTTATCTTTTGTAGATTTAAAAGTTTTCACATTTTGTTCAACGACACAACTGCTAGGTGTACAAATTGGTGCTTAACTTGCAACCAAGTTGCTGACTTTACAATGAATTCACCATCAGTAGACACACCCAAATAATCTTGTCTTTCCTGTGAATGAAGAGGGATACTATAAATCTCTTACAATACCAATGTCCAAAATACTCATCAATAAGGTTTTGTTCCAACTGTTATCAATTAAATCACACTCCCAAATTCCAATCAACATTCAATCTTTGGGTCCATTTCTACAATCCATCTCAAACCTTTTAAAAGAATATCCCTGGAATTCAGGACACCCCTTCATGCCAAGGAATGTTGATGTTTACTTTAGTAGTAAAAAAAAACCTCTCATTTCTTAAATAGTTTTGTTTAACAATTTGGACCCACCAATTATATTGATCAGTAATAACCTTCCAAGCAAGTTTCGTGAAGGATGTATTATTAAAATGGTCAGCTCTTCTTACACCAAGGCCTCCCATAGACTCAAGGGTACAAACATCCTTCCAGGCAACGGGGTCCATATTTTTAATTTCTTTACCCCTTAAACAATTTCTACACTCTTTGTTTAAAGCATCAGTTATTTGTTAGAGCATTTAAAACAAGCCATAACATGATTAGGCATGCTAGATAAGTTGGATTTAATTAAAGTTAGTTTACGAGCCTTCGAAAAGGTATTTGCCTTCCAACCTACAAGTTTCTTTTTAATTTTGAGAATAAGTTCTTTAGAATTGACAGGATCATTCCAAAATATTACAATATAAATTCCAAGTACTTACCAATAGTTGTTTTATGCTGAATTTGCAGGGTAATGATAATATTACCTCTCAAACTATTAGTAGTACTACTATAAAAATACAGAGACGATTTACTGAAATTAATCCTTTGGCCAGAAGTAGAAAAAGACTTACTGAGGGTCATTATGCTGCTTGTTGCTTTACTAGAGATTTTGCTAAAAATTAAACAATCACCTGCAAAAACCATATTAGAAATTCTAAACCCTAAAGGAGAAGTAAGTCGACCTGATTTTTAGAATTACAAGCTAACAAATTTAGTTGTCTAATCAAGGGCTCTATACATAAAATGAAAGTGTAAGGGGGATAAAGGATCACTTTGTCTGATTCCCCGTGAAAAATAAAAATGACTTTTAGCTTCTCCATTACCTAGTACAGAAAAAGAGGATGAAGTGATGCACTCTACCAAATTAATCCGACTAGTGTGGAAACCAAATTCACTAAGCATCATTCTATTATAATCCCAACATAGAACGGTGCTTAGTAAATTTAGTTGTCATGGAACCCAACCTAATATCGTAGGCATTCTCGAGGTTTAGTTTAATTGTCATGGAACCCAACCTGTCATTTTTATTCTTAAATGCAGAGAAAATTTCGTGAGCAATAAAAAAGTTATCTTAGATTGATTTTCCTGGGGCAAAAGCCTCTTGGTTTTTAGAATACAGTGCACAAGTAGAGGTTTGAGCCTAGTAATGATAATTTTGTAAAAGACATAGCTTAGGCTAATAGGCCTATACGGATTAACAGTCTCAAGGCTCTCAACTTTCAAAATTAGGACAATATTGATATGGTTAATCAATTTAAGACGAGCAATTATCAAAAAAATTTCTAACCAATTTACCAACAAAATGCTTAGAAGTGGACCAACAATGTTGGGAAAAGGTAACATATGTAAGCCATCTGGTTTATGTCCCTTTAGGCTTCCAATGTTGTTCACAACCATCCAAATTTCATTTTTAGAGACTTCCTTTAGTAAAACAATATTTTGTAAATCAGTGATACAAGGATTGATAATGTCAATAAAACTACTCACATCACTATGATCGATAATTTTATTTTCAGGAAAGTATCTTTAAGATGAAATATTTTAAAGATACTTGAGAATAATCTTTAGATATATTATAAATTAAATAATAATATCTCTAAGAATTATCTTTGAAAAATCCTTGATTGGATTTGATTGTGTTTTCTTAAATAAAGGAAAAAGTTTTCAGTTCAGTAAGCTTAAAGGTAGGAATTAGTTATTAACTTTAATTTTCTTGCCATATCTCCTTGTCATGAGCAGAGGAGCTTAGAGAAGTTGTGGTCAGCACCTGAGGACTCCTTGGTGGTTGAATTGCGCGTGGAACAAAAGTGATCTCGCTAATGTAATGAGGGCATTCCCATTAATAGTGAATAAAAGTCCACGTGTAAGCTCCAAAAAATTTTGAACCATTTTTGGCTCCACATTTATCATTCTTATAATTTAGACGTTGAATGCTGACATAATGTTGTAACACCATAAAACCAACATGAGGAAGTACCTAAAGTGAATATTGATTTTTTTGTAATTTTGTGATGCCCATTAATAATATCTTACATTCATATGGTAACAAGATTCATTGTGTAACAATCAATGTTGGTAGTGTAATAAACAATATCATTAATATAATCTCACCAGTTTAATGTAACATTGAACAATTAATTTTGACAATTATAATTGTAAGAGTGGTGCTATGCATACACGATTATCTTATTTCCCCATCCTCGTTGGTATGAAAATTTTATTGACAAATTCAACGTCATACAAAATGAACTTGAAGACCTAAACAAAACAAGGCTCTAAAAATTAAAAGTGATAAAAGAGAATTTTTAACGTCACTATCCAGCACCCACCCAACCACTTTTGTTGATGACAAAGAGAAAAAAGAACACTCAAAAGACACCAAGAAATATAAAATCGTCCCCATTATATTTATTTATTGAAAATACACAATAGCATGACTAAAGTAATTATTAAAGAGTAATGCTAACAAGTGAGGAGATTACATTTTAGATTACTACATTATACCACTTTTTTATTAGAGATAATACTCTATATTTATAAGAAAAGTAGTCCAACGTGAATTCTAAATGCAGTTTCTCTAGCATTTTCTTATTATAGAGGGCGTAGATTATATGTAGACTTCAATCTTGATGAACCGACCAAAATAGTTTCCTAGATCCACTAAACGGACCTGTCAATGGACCTGCCATAACCATAGCCATGGGAACCGATATAACCATGGGAACCCCCATAGCCGTGGGAACCTTCATAGCCGTGGGAACCTCCATAGCCGTGGGAACCTTCATAGCCGTGGGAACCTCCATAGCCATGGGAACCTCCATAGCCATGAGCCCCACCCCCATGCATCAGATGATTAGCCCCAGTAGCAGCAGCACCCCCACCAGCTAACATGCCGTGGGAACCTCCATAGCCATGGCCCCCACCCCCATGCATAAGATGATTAGCCCCATACGCAGCAGATCCACCAGCACCACCTCCACCAGCTAACATCCCTCCCATTCCCATGGTAGATGATTCATGCGCTGTAGCTTTTTCAGTCACCAGAGAAAGAAAACATTCATTAGTCTACTTACGGCATTTTGGTGGTTCATATATGATGAGCACTACTAGCTAGCATATAATTTAGTCCTTTGATTATATACATTCATATTCATAAGTTCAAGGATGCACGTATACGTACATACCATGAATAGTTTGACCTATAATTTTGTAGTATCCAAGTATAGATAATCCGAAAATAATTAATGATAAACCAAAAAATTTATGAAGTTACAAAATGAATATATTTATGACAAACGTGATTCCATTACCTGCAGAATGATATGAAGTTGTTAAACCTGATGAATAACCACCGGCTGGCGGATATCCACCAGCGTAGGAGGCCTGCTGACACCCTCCAGAGGTAGGATATCCAGTTGGAGAGTTCCCGCCTGAAGAGGAGTATGAATATGATGAATACTGTGTTTGTTGTGGCTGTGGGGGGTATCCATATCTTTGTGGAGGGCATGGTTTAACATACTGTCCTCCATGTCCGGCACCAAATCCAGAACCGAATGATGAAAACAGTCCTTTCTCAGAAGTCTTATGTTTGTCCTCGTTTTCAGCTCCCATCTTATATATAATTACGTGAAATTGATCCCTAGATACATAATAATATTATTAAAAAATTACTGAGAGCAAATATGAAGCAAAGTACTCATGAATGTTAGTGTTCTCTTACTAGATCGTATGTTTATGAATGACAGTGACATTAGTACAGTACGCTTCTGCTTAATTAACGGTCTACACAACATGAAGTGAGAGATAATTTCGTTGCATATTATAGTAACTGAAACAAATATATTGTTAAGGTAAACTTCAAATAAAAAGAGAGCATCTATGGAACCAATCTTCCAAACATTTCTGTGCATTTACAATTTTTTATCCCACACCTTATAAAATTAACTGGCCCTTAAGAAAGACATGTTCAAATAAGAAACCCATGTTTATAAAAGGTTTTTTTAGCCAAAATGGTCTATGAGATTTGCATAATTCATCACTTTGACCCTTGAGATTTGAAATCAATAGAAGTGGTCCTTGAGTTTGTCCACCATCAATTATTTTAGTCATTCCATGAAAAAATATATTAAATAAGGACCAAATGACAAAAAAAAAAAAAAAAAAAAAAAAACCCCTCAATTTATTAAACAATGGTTCAAATAATTTGACAAAATTTGAGGGTACTTTTATCACTTTAGCCTTGTTTAATGGAGATTTTTCTTAGAATGACCAAAATAATTGATAGTAGACAAACTCAATGACTATTTCTATTGATTTCAAATCTCAGGGACCAAAGTGAGGCGTTATGCAAATCTCATATACTATTTTGGCTAAAAAGCCTTTATAAAAAGCATACTTTTAGAGTTAAAAAAAAAATGTTGCAAAACAAAAGAGTTAAAGAAGCAAAAAGCTTAAAGGCCGTTCGATAATTATTTCGTTTTCAGTTGAAAATTGAAAACTTGTTTAGTAACCACTTTCATTTTTCAGATTTCAAAAAAATAAAAACTCAAATCCAAATATTGAAATCTCAATAAAGTAGCTTTCAATGTTTAGTACGAAAATTGAAAGTAGTAATCAAACGATTTTTTTTTATTTTCCTTTTTTAAAAAGTAAAACAAGAATTGAAAATTGAAAACCAAATAATTGTCAAACGGCTTCTTAATTTTGCCAAAATAAAAAAGAAGTTCGGTTGAGAAGAAATGTCATCTACTTCATTCATAATCAGATAATAATAATAATAATAATAATAATAATGATGATGGAATCATTGATGAAGAAGCACCAGATACTAATAGAAATGAGAAAGATAGAGAGGCTTACCAAAATGGTTTGAGTGTTTGCCTTAAACACTCAAACAAAAGCTTAATTGTGTGAAATTTGAAAGAAATGAAGGGGCATTATATACGATAATAAAGTAAACAAGTGTGATATTAGATTCCCATCAATCTGTAATATTATACACTTGATTCACCGAACGCCTAAAGTTAATGGCCAGCCGCGTTAATCGTACGCGTGTGCTTTATTTGATGCTCTGTAGTATTTGAGGTCGAGCTTCATCTTTTGGCTTGCTATAAGGGGTAAGTTATCTATTATGGTCGAGTAATGGTCTTCACCTTTTGTGTCTCATCTATTTTCTCATTTTGCTTGACTGATAATGTGTCACAAAATCACTTGTTCTTTGAGTAGTATAGTGCTAGTATTTGGTCTAATGTGTTTTTTAAGTGTGATTGTGATCCCCCTCATTTGGATTGCATAACTTTACCACTTGGGCTGTTAATAATTGGATGTGTAAATCGTTGAATGTTACCATTAGGAAGTTGTGCCTAGCTGTTGTCTATGTTATATGTAAGGAACGAAATAGCGGTAAATACAGAAATGAGCACCTCCACTCCATTGATGTCTTTTAAACCATTATGAACTCTATACACTTGTGGTTATGTTCTTGCAAATTTCGATCTCTATTGCAAATATGCACATTTTTCAAAAATGGAGAATCCATATGTATTTGTTCTCCCTTTGATGTTGGTTGTTAGGTTGGATTGTTGGTGCTTTTACAACCTTCTTGTATTTTTTTTTGTTTTTAGCTTGGCCTTTGTTGCTGCTATTGTGTTGTTGTTGTTGGTTCTCTCTTTTAATATAATCTCATTACCAAAAAAAATTTCTAAAAGACGCTAGGTGCTAGTCGGGTGGCAAGCTGAGACCTAATACCTAGATACGTAAGCGAGGCCTAAAGAGACAAGGTGAATTTAAGTAAACTTATTATATATTACATAAATTAAAAAAAAATTACTATATAATATGTAAATAAACATGAACAATATGTTGTTTAAGAAAAAGAATATATGGAATGTGAGAATTTTAAGTACATAATATGATATGGCCTTAAAAGGAAAAAGAAGATAATAATAAAACATTACCCTAAATAATTATATAATATATTTATTTAATAGTGAAGACCAGGTAATTGTTTTATGATAAGGCGTCATGGTGGACGGACAAGGATCTCTCCGAATAAATTGATACATGGCCATACAATCAATTACTAACGGCCAAGTTTTGGGTTTTCACTGTTTCCTCTTCCTCCCGATCTTTCACTTCCCTTTGATCTTGCTCTATAACTAAATTCTCCTTCTTCCTCAGTTACTCTGTAAATTCTCCATCTTTTTCTTCGATTTCTCTGTAAACTTTCTATATGAACTCTTCTTTCTCTCTCCCACCCTCCCTCTTCTCATCAGATCTTCCATCGTCTGCGAGCAATGACGAGAAATGCGAGTAAGTATGCAGAAAAAGAAAAACTACTGCCTAGATCACTGCCTAGGCCGCCTAGAGAGCGCCTAACTCCTTATCAATTTTGCTGGACAATTTGGCCTAAATCGCAGTGACACTCCATTGCCTAGCGCCTAGGTGGCTGCATATAATGACGGAGTCAGCATGGAGTCATTAGTTGCCGTTGACTCTAATAACTTAAAAAAACTTCATGTAAATTTGTTTGTGTATTGTATTTGACCTCTATAAACAACTAAAACAAACTAAATTACAATCTCCTCTTTCTACTTGTTCTATTATATTTGCCTTACTTTTCTATTTTCTTGTGCGACTCTATTGTGCGCACCATGTGCTCGATGAAATACTTTAGTTAAAAAAGCTTTGGCATTATTCAATATTACTCCACTGTATCTGCATCCACCCTCGACAAGTCTCTACAAATAATAATAGTTGTCGACATATGTTGGCTTAAACTTTGGGCACATGTTGACAAGTTTTGACAAGTGCATACTAGGTGCTCAATAAAATGGCTCAATGAAGTTTTTTTAGTTAATACTAGCATTTGCCTACACACTTTGTGGGTATGAACATATTTTTTTAGAAAATGAGAAGGATAGAGGGAGAGAGAGAACCTGGGGGTGAGGGCAGTGGGAGGTTCTTCTTTTTTTTTTTTTTTTTTAATATTAGAGGTATTTAAACATCATCTGTAAGTGAGGCTTCAATAAAAAACAGTAAAATTTGAACTTGTGAAATTACATTATTGCCCATCATTTTTTTTGTGTGATAGAAGGCTAAATTGTCTTTTACCCTCTTTTGCTTGACAAAGAAAGTTTCATTAATTAGTAGAGATTATGATTCCATATATTATTTGAAAATCCTAACTACAGCACTGACTGCATTGGTTGATTTTTAGAATAATGGTATTTGGACCACCAAGTTTTAAGGATGTATTGTAAAAAATAAAGTTTGTGGAAAAACGATAAGTAATTTATATTAAATTTATATAAAATAGAAAAGAGCTTGAACCTAAAACGCAATGAATTAGAGTAATGCCCGATCCACCACTTGCGTCAAACAGAATGGTTGTAAGAGCATCTCCATTTATATAGTTTTATTAGCTGAGAAATTATTCAATAAATAAAGTTTCAGAAAATTCAGAACCATTCGCATTGGTCATAAAATATAAATAAAATATAAGTTTACATATTTCTTTACAATTTTAGGAGGTGTGCTATGCTAGTTTTTTTTTTTCTTTTTTTTTTTTGTCAAACAATAGATTTGTTAGATAAAATAACATATTAGAGAGCTGATATTCGATCCTATGTTGTAATGCAAGAGCGACACTTCTCTCCATCACTGTGGTAAAAAGCTACTTGCGTGTGCTATGCTAGTTAGAGAGTGAAAAATAAACGATGTCCCAAATTTATATTTCTCCATTAAATAGAACTCATATTTATATTTCCTGAAAATGTAGATGAAATGTAAATAAGATGTAGATGTAACTTTTAAATATCAAATTTATATCTTTTACACTTGTAACTTCACTGGTCTTGTTTGAATCAGCTTCACGCTCAAAGTGGCAATCAAACTAATTACTATAGTTTATGCTCACCCTCCCTAACCCAATGTCACATCTCGGTCCAGGACCCCACCATATCTCGGGCTCAACTCCACCATAGCACGATATTGTCCGCTTTGAATCCCGACCACACCTTCATGATTTTGTTTCCGGGAACTCACACGATAAGTTCCCAGTAGATCACCCATCCTAGGATTGCTCTCGCGCACTACTCGCTTAACTTCGGAGTTCCGATGGAACCCGAAGCCAATGAGCTCCCAAAAACTCGTGCTAGGTAGAGATGAGAATATACATATAAAGCTTATAGGATCCACTCCCTTGGGTGATGTGGGATGTTACAATCCACCCTCCTTAGGGGCCCAACGTTCTCATCGGCACACATCCGCCCAGGGATTGGCTTTGATACCAAATTGTCACATCCCGGCTCGGGCCCCCATCACATCCCAAGCTCGATTCCACCGTAGCACGATATTGTGCGCTTTGGGCCCCGACCACGCCCTCACGGTTTTGTTTCTGGAAACTCACACGAGAACTTCCCTGTGGGTCACCCACCCTAGGATTGCTCTCGCGCGCTACTCGCTTAACTTCAGAGTTCCGATGGAACCCGAAGTTAGTGAGCTCCCAAAAAGCCTCGTGCTAGGTAGAGATAGGAATATATATATATAAGGCTTACAGGATCCACTCCCTTGGACAATGTGGGATGTTATACACAAGGTGACCGTTACTTCATTCTAATATTTTGCCACGTGTTTATTCAACAAACAACCTATGTATTTTATTAAAATAAGACATGTATTGGGATATTTATCTTCAATTGTACAAAATGTATTATTTTTTTGACACTCATGGTTGAAGCGAATTTTCCGAAGATAAAATGAATTATGAGAGTATTGGACCTAAACTATTGATTGGGCCTTGCAACAAAAAAAATGTGACTTTGTTCCAGCCCCTGCGTAAGCCCCATACAGATGATAGGCCGGTTCGTTTGAAGATAATCTTTTTTGTGATCAAACCCGTTCATGTCATGTATGATATGAACAGGCATTAATTAATAATTGATTGCAATTTTAATTTCACATTCTAATAAAAATAAAATAACTACCCCATCGACAATGGTAAACACTGACCATCCCTGCCCCTTTTACCTTGTATAAGTTTGTTCATCATAATGTAGCATCTGCGCAAGCTTCAAAATTTAGATTTCTCAATATTCTTCTGGATAATTGCTTGCAGGAAGATTTTTTACTGCTCCCTTTATTCTCCATGTAATTTGTTGCAGATTCGAAACCCGTATCAAGATTGAACTAGCTTGGACTGGATCGAAGTGTGGCGAACCAAGTCAGATCAACCAGCCAAGTGCAGTATTGAGCTTGAAGAGCTTGTTACTCATCTCAATGTTGCTTTCAGATTACTCTGTCACATCAGATACCATATAACTTCAATTCCCCCCAGAAATGAAACGCTTGCTTGCGCAGCAGATTATGGTTTGTGCATCCGAGTTCAGTTCTTGCAACATTTGGGCTCTTCCGAAGAGAGTAGACGTTGAATAGCCTCTAAGTAACATTCTCCAGTAGTATCTTGTCCAGAAGACTTCCCCCAGTATCCGAATCACCAACAAACTTAGTAACTAAAAGATCCCAGGAAGCAATGTTTGCGTCTCCGCTTGACATTGCCATTGAAACAACTTTTGTGACTTCCGCTTCCTTTCCCGAGTCACAGAGCCCCTCAATCAACATAACATAAGTAGACTTGTTAGGCAAACAGACCTTATCCAACATCTCCTCCAAAATTTTAATCCCCTCCTCTGCTTTTCCAATTTTGCAAAATCCTTTGATCAACATACTATAAGTAAAAGCATTCGGAATACACCCCTTCTCCACCATGTCATCCCACAACCTCCCCGCCTCACACAACTCCCCCGCTTCACACATTCCCGCAATAAGCATGTTGTACGTCATGACGCTCGGAATGGAATCCGTGTCAAGCTGATCAAACAGCTTCTTAGCTTCCCATACTTTTCCCTTCTCACAAAACCAGTGTATGAGCGTGCTTGAGACTGCATTATCAGGTGTGCAATTCTTCTTCAAAAGCTTCTTCCACAGTTCATAACCATCCTCCACCTTCCCTTCACGACACAAAACATCGATCACCTTACAGCATAGCGCAGAGCTTGGTATATACCCTTTCGCAAGCATGTCATTAAGCAAATTAACAGCTTCGCCCGACTTCTTCTCCTTACAATAAGCTTCAACCATAACCCCATAAGTAACCTCATTTGCCCCGACCTTATTTTCCTCCATCTCATCCATGACCTTAACGGCATCAACCAGCTTCCCTTGCTTAACAAACCCATCCATCAAAACAGTATAAGTAGTCGCATCCGGATACCACCCTCTATCCAAAACCTCCCCAAAAACTCTCTTTGCCCCAACCATATCACCCCGCGAAACATACCCGCCAATAATCGTGGTATAAGTCACCACATTCGGGACAAACCCCATTGCAGGCATTTCGTCGAGCACCTTGAGTGCAGTCTCGACATCGTTCTTTTTGCAGAGCGCCTTGATCAGAATATTACAAGTGGATAAATTGGGCATAACCCCAAATCTCTGCCCACAATTCTTGAACACAGAGTGAACCAAACCGTACTCACTGTTCTTAACAAGAGCGTTCAACAATACGTTCAGGGCCTTCACAGAGCGCTGAACTCCGAAATTCGGCACGTCGAGAAACGCTTTGAAGGCGAGTTTGGGGCGACCCAAAACGCCGAAATTGCGAATGAGGGTGATGAAAATGTCTTCGGAGCATTGGATTTGGGAGTTTTTGAGGTCGGAGAGGAGGGGGTCGATCATGCGGTGGAAAGCGCAGGAACGGGAGAGGCGGTTGAGGATGGCGTGATAGGTGTGGTAATTGTGGGAAAATCCGGGGTGGAATTTGGAGGCGTGGTGGAAGATTTGGAGGGCGAGGTCGAGGTTGGGTTGGTGGGCGATGAGGGAGATGAGGCGTTTTGGGTAGAGGCGTCGAGGCCAGGGTTGGATTGGAGGGGTCACGGTGTATGAGTGGAGGAAATCGGCGGTGGCGGCGGGGGTGAAGGTGGAGGCGGAGGAGGAGAAGGAGACGGTGGTGATTGAGTGGAGGAGAGGGGAGGGCTTGGCTGAGATCTTCCAACGCAGGATCAGCATGGTTGAAGTGTTGAAGACAGTGCCTTCGGCAAATGCCCTCCACAGCATGGTTGAAGAGTTGAAGACAGTGCCTTCGGCAAATGCCCTCCACATTTGTACATTACATGACCGTTGAGTCAATTTTCCTACCAACCCATAGGAGGGCATTTCGAGGTTGTGCTTAGTTAGTTTGGCCCCAACACACACGTGATCCGTCAGTAGCGTACTAGAATTTTTCATTTTCTACTTATAAAACAAATTCACAATATGAAGAGTAGTCCGATTACTTATAAGTTAGGCAAAATTCATTCTCCCATATGAGATTCATTCTCAACAATTTCAGCACCCTTGAATTTTAATTGACAATGAACTTCTGTTTTTGCTTTATTGGAGGAAAAAATTCTCTAATAAAAAACCTAAGCATAAAAAATTGTCTGAGACATTAAAATGTGCTTCACCTAATCGCTACATTTTAATTAAACAAAAAATTGGTAATCCCAACATTAAGATAAATCACCACTTCCTAATTTCTACAGGAGGTACTTCACTCTATACATGTTTTCACTTGATCCACATCGCGCTTCATCCACGAACCTTCAAGTTAATTACATTTGCTTCTGGTACACCCGCCTGTAAATCTTTGCACCTTCAAACTCTGCATGAATTTCTCTCTCGGTCCGAATTCCCATTGGATTGTTTAACAGCCATCCCTCGCTGTCACACAGCACACTGGTGTCAATTTCGTGGATGTGTGTCAGGATATTGGAATGAGAATCAAACTGATCTCTCATGTCAAGTGCCACATCAAGTACGTCGGATTGGATAAACACCTGCAGGCGGATTATGTCGTTAAAGAAACAATCATATGTTCATAGTTCATTCAACCAAAAGCAAGCCATTGTTTGAAGACGAAAGTCATTGAAAGAGTTCACATAGTAGGTATGCACTCAATTTGAAGAGCGAATATGATTCTTCTTTCTGAATAAGTAGAGGTTATACAACTGTATTCAGAAAACTGTCTCATGACCTAGAGCACTCAACTCGACGCCCAAAATTATTAGTCATTAGAGGTGCTCCTCGTAACTGTTTATATAAACTCAATTTACTCAGCAGTGCAGAATAAAAGTCCTTCAAGAGTCAATAAACACTCGCACAACCCCCATGCAACATATTTTGACACCACTATCCACGTTAGGGGCTAAACCTATCATGCTGCATTACTCTCATACCCACAAAGCAGTATTGAGTGACTTTTATACCATATATCAAGATCATACCATTGACACAAAACAACCGGGACAGGTCAATAATTGAAATCCTGGTAATTGATTAAATAACTTCGATCGACTCAGATTATAACCAAGTGAGACTCAATACACACCTTTACAGCTTATGCACAAAACAAAGTTTGTTAGAAGCCTGTCTTTGATAAGCAGCAAGCTTGTTCTACTCTGTTGTTCTAAACAGCATGGTCTTCATCCTAAAGGCCTCCCTCAATAGCAGCCTAACCCTTGCAACCTGAGCCATATCTTTGTGTCCATACAGATTTATTTAAGATTATGCATCAATCAATACAAAGAAAAGGTTACCCATTTGGTCGTGATTGATTAGTTAATGAAAAACAAAACCAACCTAAGGTACATGTAGAGTAGCAAGAACTGAAGGATTCTTATGTGGAGTAACCATAATGAACGGTCGCATACTTTCTATACAGAAAAATGCAAAAGCTGCTCATCTGCTCCCCGCATTAACTCAACCTTTCCCTATCCTCGTACCCAGAACCATGGACAATTGAGGCAAATTATTGAAACTGAAAGATAAGACTTCAACCTCTTGGTACTATTAAATCTATAACTTGAACATTGAGCAAACCTAAACAAAAACTAGCAACTTTATAACAATCAATCATAGTCGCTTTCAGGCCAAAAAGAAAAGTCATATTCACTTCATTATTTTATAATTAAACGAGTTATTCAAACCTGGCCGCTCGGCATTAAACTGTTCACAATGGAATCTACTAAGGGCTTCTGTACAACCCGTCTCTTATGATGCCTTTTCTTGAAATAAGGATCTGGGCACTGCATATGAACATGAGCAAAGAATCCATTAGAATAGTTGTGTTTCAGCCTTATGACTGACCAGAATAATATGAAGAGAATCCCTCCCTTGGATACATAATGAGAAAATTTGACCTAGAATGTTTCAGCGAGGTGAACTCACCAGGATGGAAACAAGCATCAATGGTCCGGGGTATGTAGACACTAGTTGTTGATAGGAAGTTGTGGCATTTGCAAACATGAAATGTCTGCCATTTAGTTCAATATAGCATATCAGTTTCTCGCCAATAGTATACAATAGGAACCAACTAATGATCAAGTGTCTTACATGTTACTAAGAGCCAGGTCTTGAACCCAGAATTGAGAACGCTTGACCAGCTGCATCAGGGAGGAAACCATTAGTATATGAGAAACAAACCATCTTTTTCTCTTGTAAAAGGGAGGAAAGAGGACGAAGTAATTATACATGAAATCAATCAGAAGAACTAACAATTGTATAAAAAAATAACCCAAGGAGTTTTCCCATACTTTCTTTCGTATTTCCAGTCCCAGATAATTTCTCACAACTAAATTCCTTTTTGCGAGCCATAAGAGAAATCTGCCGCTACCTGAAAATGCTTACACGTTTAGATTGATATATTGAAAAAATTCATTCCATTGGGAGGTATGTCTCCCTTGTTAAGTATATGAGCTCAATACATGAATCAGTAATACTTGGAATTCTCAATTGTAAATGATTATATAGTATTTTGACATAAGGTGTAGTTATACTTTCTCACTTTATCATGATCTTGATACAACTCTCTTAAGTTAAAGAATACAAAGAACAAAATAGTCCTTCTGTACACTTGAAGAGCGTATTCAAAGTAACAATTCAAGAAAATCGCGGTGGTATAAGACCAGACACTTTCTTTGCCGCTTTAGCATGATAAATACACTAAAAATGAGTAATGAACCACCTATGAGTTTTTCTACATTGTCTTATTCCATGATGTGGCATGCTACATGGATTGCCGCATACTTTGTGCTACCATTGACATATACATGATGGGTGCAATAAGTATGATGAATGATAAGAAACCATGTCATAGAGTCATAGCTTATATTTAATGCAAAAGATTGGAGTAGATTTAGCATTGTCCATCAAAATCCCCTTTTTCTATATATAATTTCTTCTCGGTGAATAAAGTCATGTAGCTCAACAAGTAATTCATAAATGGTAAACGAAGAAATCACGACATTCGACATATATATATAAGAATCATTTGTAGTGATTTCATACATTGAACAGAAATGGAAAATCATGTACCCCAATCCCGAATGGTTTTAATAAGATGTAGAAGTTGAGTTCAAACATGGGAAACACCTGGGTTTATAATTCAAAGGAAATTACTGGTTCTATTAAACAAACACAACATATATGCAAAGCTAAAGCGCTCATGATAAAGAAGAACTTGGACTATAAACACACAGATGACATGTGAGAGGGAACTGTAAAACAACGGCCAGTACCACTTCCAATATCCACCATGAGTGGCAATGTTGGATCCCTGAAGACTTGATTCCAATCAGGTACTTCCACAGGCGCCTACCCAATCAAACAAAATAAATAAAAAGGATTATTAAAACTCTCTCTGTAATTCTCTATAGCTAAAGTATTTTATTGTATGTCGAAAAGCGAAAAAGAAAGAAGAGCCTCCAAATGACATACAGAGAGAGAGGTTTTCAGAGGGTTGACATGTTGCCTGATTCGGCCATGACCCAGACCCAGTTCCTGCAATTCAGAATTACAACCCCACAAAGTAAGCTTCTTTTCTATTACAAATTTACGAGCGATATTACTATTCTAAGCTACACTAAGGGAGGATAAGGATTTGAGCCCCAGACGCAGTCAGCTTTACATCAATCAAAGAAACAATAAATTCCATATTTTCAGAACACCAACATGACAATTATATCGAAAGATTGTGTGAATGAATGTAAATTAACAAAAAAAGGACCTCAGAGATTGTGGGGTTGAGATTAAGGTCGGCATATTCCAAGGCCACTAGGTTGGGGCTCTGCTGCTGGTGTTGATGTTGCTGTTGCTGTTGCTGCTGCTGTGCACCAGCAGAACCACAGGCGCTCAATCTTCTGCTGATGGGGTGAAATTGGTGAGAAGGTAATAGTGGTGAAGTTGGAGAAATAAGCCGTTGCAGTTTCAGAGCTCTTCTGGGTAATGCAGCACTGAGTGTGCCACCGCCTACGCAAGAACCCAGCATTTTGCTGCTCTGCATATCCTAATGCTTTCGTGTTTTGGGTTTTGGGTTTTGGGTTTTGGGTACCCCTCCCCTTCTCTCCAGTCTCCACTCTCTCGGTGAAATTAATTGAATTTGAAATGGAGAGGATAAGTTGAGACCGTGAGATCATAATCCAACGGCCACATAATAAAGAGATTAAAAAACATGAAACGCCTCTCTATATGTCACGCAAAATAATAAGAATTTTGCGAAATTTAATGGAAGGTAGTGGATTTGATTGATTTTAAACAATTCTACTTTTGAAAAAAAAAAATAATTGGCAAATGCCTCTGTATATTTTTTATGAAACAAGAAAATATATTAAAGGGAAAAACCTCGAGAACAACCCTTCCTTACAGAATCAAACTGAAAAGCAGGAAAAGCAAATGAAGGAATACAATGATCTCAAATATGTCAATCCGTAATAAGAAAGCCATGGCGGGCGAATGCATCCGCTATAAAGTTAGTCTCTCTATTAATATGGTTTCAGTCAATGCAATCAAAATTGGTCGTCGTCCACTTGATATCTTCAATAATAGGAACCAGATTCCATAACATCGCTCCCTGGTCCAACACTGACTAAATGACCAATTTAGAGTCACCTTCAACGATAACCTTTGTATAGCCCTTCCTCTCAACAAAAAGAAGGCCCTCTCTAAATGCCCTAGCCTCCACTTCAGAAATAGCCGCACCATCCATATTTAAAGCTCCACCTCCAATAATCTGCCCATTATGATTCCTTAAGACAAATCCAGTTGCCGTCTTGTCCTCAGCCACCAAACCATCAAAATTTAACTTAACAAAACTCTTATACGGCAGATGCCATTTAACAATTGTGGAAGTATCATTAGTATTTCTTCTCAAACCTTTACCATTGGCTTTAAGATATCGCTCACCTATAGATATAGCCAATAACTTAGATCTTGTCGGGATGGGCAAAACATTTATGAACACCATATTATTATGGTCGTTCCAAATTTGCCAACAAAGGAGCAAACACAAGCTTAGATCACTAGGAACTTCCTTATCAACATGCTTTAAAGAATTTAGCCAGTCTACTGTTGAGTCGAAGTTGGCATTAGTAAAATTGCATGGTTTAATTGAGCAAATGTCCCATATCAATTTAGTGACACCACAATTAAAAAATAAATGCATTTGGTCCTCGTCTAATTGCAAAAAGGACACATCTTAGAATATGACTTAATCTTTTTCTAGTTTAAAGTCTATCACGTATGAACAACCACGCAAACATCTTAACTTTAGGAGGAATATTAAGTTTCCACATCTTATTAATTAACTTATACTTTGTAGATTGAGTCAACGTCCCTTTCTGGATCCAAGTAGCTGATTTAACAGAGAACTTACCATTTATATTTGGACCCCAAACTAGCACATCTTTGGAATCTTGCAAGGGAATTGTAATATTGCAAATTTTCCTCACAATTTCATTACTAACCACTTGCGAAAGTTTTCTCCTATCGCAACAATAATTATGAATAAATTCATTAACTTTCAAGTCCCATTAATGTTTTGGTTGTCAATATTGGGTAAAAGATGGAATAACAGGTAAGGAAAAACCCAATTGTGGGACCAGAACAAAATGTCCTTACCAGTACCCACTCTCCATCTCATACCCTTAAGAATAACATCCCAACTTTTCAAGATACCTATCCAAGCAAAATAATGATTTTGTCTAATTTTATTATCAAGAAAATTTTCCTTTCTAAGATACTTATTTTTTACTAACTTCACCCACAAGTTATCCTCCTCAGTCACTACCTTCCAACCTAACTTAGCGAGACAATCATTATTAAAATAATCAAGTCTTCTAAATGCCAAACCTCCCATTTTCTTAGGAGCATAGACCGAATCTCAAGCCACTGGAAATATTTTCTTGTCCCTACCCCAAAAAAAATCCCTACACTCTTTATTAAGCTTATTGACAATCTTGTCAAGACACTTAAAGTAAGACAAAACATGATTAGGCATACCCGTTAGATTCGAGTTAATTAAAGTAAGCCTCCTCGCTCTCGAAAGAGTGCTTGCTTTCCAAACAGCTAATTTTTGCTTAACCCTCTTAAGTAACTCATTACCATTAACTTGGTCTTTCCAGAAAACAATATTATGAATTCGTAGATACTTACCAATAATAGTTTTATGTTGAATATGTAAAGATTTAACAATATCAATTCTAGTTGGAGAAGTGGTATTCTTGGAAAAATACACGGACGACTTATGAAAGTTTATTTGTTGGCCCGCCACTTTAGAAAACATATTAAGGATTTGAAGAATATTCCTCGCACCCCTTAGCGTGGCCTTAGCAAACAATAGACCTTCGTCAGTAAACACTAGATTTGATATTTTAAATCCTCTAGGTGAGGACAAAATGCCAATATGAGACTTTGGATTATTTGTTAGGGTATTGAGGTGTCTAATTAATGGTTCCATACAAATAATGAAACTATATGGGGACAAGGGGTCCCCTTGTCTAATTCTACGCTTCGGATAAAAATAACCATGAGGTTGCCCATTTATAAGCACAGAGAAGGAAGGAGAAGTAATACATTCCATAACTAAATCAACCCAACTATTATCAAAACCAAATCTAAGAAGAACATACCGAATGTAATCCCAGTGTAAGTAGTCATATGCCTTTTCCAGATCCAGCTTGACACCCATAGCTCCAGTTCTTCCTTTCATCCTATTGAAACTAGCAAACATTTTGTGAGCAATGAGAATATTATCCTAAATGGCTCTACCTAGAGCAAAAACACCTTGATTTTGAGAGATGCAAAGATCTAATAGAGGTTTTAGTCGCTTATTGATGATCTTTGTGATAAATTTATAACTAACATTACACAAACTAGTAGGCCTATAGTTACTAACACTTTCCGAATTATCTATTTTAGGAACTAAAGCGATGTTAGTATGATTTATGAGTCTTAAGCTGGACCCATTTTGGAAAAAATCTTTGACCAAACATGAAACAGAGTCCCTAATTTGGTCCCAACAACCATGAAAAAAGGCTGCACTTAAACCATTAGGACCCGAGGCTTTAAGAGCTCCAATACTACTCACAGCATCCTAAATTTCCTCATCTGTAACAAGAGACAACAAACTTTCATTAAGATGATTAGAAACACAAGGTTGAATGATATCTGCTAAATTATTTAGGTCAGCACCCGAGGAAAGACTGTCACATGAAAAACGCTTTTTAAAATCATGCACAAAAACATATTTAAGGCCCTGACCAACAGACCACCAAAAACCATTCTCATCTTTGACTTTTGTAATTTCATTCTTTTTCTTACGAATAGCAGCCACAATTTGAAAGAATTTAGTATCAGCCACAATTTGAAAGAATTTAGTATTCTTATCCCTAAGTTGCAGCCAATTAGTTTTAGCTCTCTGGGCCCACATAGTTTCTTCACAAAGTAACACATGGTTCAATTCATCTCGAAGAGATTTTTCCATCATCAAATCAAAAGAGTTGCTACTCATAATTTGCTTTTGAATTTCGCGAAATTTAAGGGTTTATATCACAAATGGTTCCTAAAATTGACCCTCACCATCAAGATGGTCCTTGAAATTAAAAATCAATCAACGTAGTCCCTGAAAATAGGTGTTGCAAATCAAAGTGGTCATTCTGTCATATTTTGTTGAAAATTCCGTTAAGTGCTAATGTGGCACATAAATGAGCCTCACAAGATTTAAGGGTTTTTATTACAAATAGTCCCTGAAATTGATCCACACCATCAAGATGGTCCCTGAAATTGACTCATACCATCAATATGGTCCCTAGAATTAAAAATCAATCAATATAGTCCTTGAAAATAGGTGTCGCAAATCAATATAATCCTTCCGCCACAATTCTGTAAAAAAATTTGTTATGTGCTGATGTGGGTTTCATAATTAATTAAAAAAATTGTCTAAATACCATTTTGCACATTGGAATTTTTTTTGTTTTTTTCTTATAGTAGGGCCTACTCTAAAGAGAGATCCCTTCCATAAGTTTTCAAAGGCACAAGACTTAACCAAGGCCTAAGAGAGGGGGTGTGGAAATAGTTTTCAACCAATAATGGACGTACCTTGTTTATAACCTCATTATCTCAAGGTAGACCTTGTCGTTCTTTGCACCACCAGACCACCAGGGAAGCGGCGAACAAGCTCTCCAAGATTAAGGTTGTGAGGATGTTGATCGCTTAAATGTTAACGGTGATGTCCCAGAAGTCGTTGCCTATGGGCCAAGCCGTCACCAAAGGCGATCTCGATCCAAGTTCAATTCGGTGAAAGGTATCTCAGAGTGTAAAGATGGATGTATTGAGATTTTTTTTTTTTAGAGAATAGAGAACGAAGGAGGTATAGAAATGTGGACCGGGATCAGAGGTGATTGCAGGATTGGGTTTTTAGGTTGACAATTTTTTTATTAACTATTAAATTATTAAGCCTATTTGTAATTTTTTTTAATTTAATTAGATTTGTGTGAGTTATTTATGTGTCACATCAGCACATAACAGAATTTTTGATAGAATTATGATGGAAGGACTACATCAATCAATTTTCAATTTCAATGATCATTTTGATGTCGCGGGTTAATTTTAGGGACCATTTTGATCTCGTGGGTCAATTTCAAGGACCATTTATGAGAGAGAAAAAAAAAAGGACTTATAGGGGCCATTTATGTGTCATATCAGCACTTAACAAATTTTTTAATAGAATTTGACAGAAGGACCACATTGATTTTTGTGATTAAAAAAAAACCCCGAAATTTAATGGAAGGTGGTAGATCTCATTGATTTTAAACAATTTTACTTTTGAAAAAAAATAATTGACCCTTGAACAATTCTTCTTTCCAACTAAAAACACTTACTCACTAACTAAAGTCAATGGTAATTGCTAAAACTTTTTTTTATGGCCAAAATTCTTTTGTGGTTTTATGGTGACACGTCACTTTCAATGTCACTCTTGTGGTGAAAAAATTGTTAATTTTTTTTATTTTGAACAAGCGATATTATCTACATTAAAGAGGAGGAATGAGCTTAGCCTTAGTTTGGTACTAAGGTGATTATGAAAAAAAGTG